ATGCATAATTCTTCTCTTTTTAAAAAGTCAATAATTGGTTTTTTTGCTTGATAGATTTTTTATAAATTTTTTAGTGAAACTAAGCATTACTCAAGATTCCTTTTGAACTTTTTGCTCCTTTCAGTTGAAGGATTTTCAGTTAAAGTCCTTTCAAAAAATAAGATTCCAATTGCTTGGACTAGTTTGTTTTGCCATTGTCTTCCCATATGCTTTTTATTGTAAATTTGGAATATTTATCTGTGCTGTTATCATCCAAATTGATTTTCATTACCTTCAATGCTATTTCTGTTAAATATGCTTTGCTAAGCCCATTATTTAATCATATTAAAATCTTTAAATTCTGCTGACTTAAAAAAATTTTAATTTCCCATCAAGTTTGTTTTATGCCTGTTAGATATATATACATACACTTATTCTTCACCTTTAGTTCTCTCCTGTTTTGTATGTCACTGTATGTTTTGATTGATGATAGATATTAGAAACCACCACCACCCCTCAAAAGTAGATATATTTTCAGAAATTCCTTTTTATATGATGAATCTCAGAGAATTATTTAGAAGCCAACTGAAGGTTTGTAACCCATGTTAATTTTCTGCAGTGAATGAGAGTTAAGTAATTAATTCCTGAATCTGTGTTGTAGATATTGTAGGATCTATATTTTTTTTCTTGGTACAGTCAGTAATGATATTAATGACATTTATTTACTGTTGTTTACTTTCTAGGGCAGTCATTCCTCCATCAACAGCTATATGATACATTATACAATCTGACATTAACTATGTTAAAATTTTTTAAAATTTATTTTAACATTCATTCATTATTAAGTAAGAACTTCATCCAACAAATGCAAAAGTAGAAGAAAGCTATTTGAGGAAATATTCTATAATTTTTATTCTATTAAATTAATATATACTTGGATGGAATATTTCCTTCTATTAAAAAAAAATAACAACTTGCAAGAAAGCATAATTAAAATATTCTTTTTTAATTCTAAATTGTAAAATTTTGCATTTCAGTTTTCTTTTATATATTCTGAAGTTTATTTACTTCTGATGTAGTGAATATACAGGGTGTTTATAAATGAATGATGCAGTTTTAAAAATTAATCATAAATCTATTTATTACCTTATATGGGCAAACCTTACAGCATAAGCAATGGCAACTGTCCAAGTTCACAGGAATGTCCATGAGCTTCTTAATCATGTTCTTCACCAATGCTGGATTGGACATGCTACACTGTGTATGGGAAGAATTTGATTACCATGTAGATGTGTGATGTGTGACCATGGATGCACATATTGAAGGATTGTGATTAATGCATAAAAATCTTGGATAGTTGCCACTGCTTATGCTGTAAGGTTTGCCCATATAAGGTAATAAATAAATTTATTATTTTTAAAACTGCACCATTCATTTATAAACATCCTCTAATCCATTGTATTTATTCGTGTTGTTTGATGTAGTCAAGTGTTGTTTGTGAAATAAGATGTATGATTGTCTTAAGTTAATAATCCTTTCTTATGAAATTTCTTATAAAGTTATTATTTATATGTTGTTACATCTGTTTCAAATTTGTAATTTATAAAAATGTATTTGTAATGGTATAGAATTATTATTTAATATTTCTTTGATTTTATTTCTATTCTATAAGAGAGTTTTTTTTTCTTAAATATTAAAAATTTTTTTTGTAGATTGGCTGCTCTGAGAAATTAAAGTACTTTACTGTCCAGTGGAAATGAATAACCAATATGTATGTTCAGTTTCAATTTTGTGATTATTACTTATCTGAAAGATAAACCGTAAAAACATTACCTGCCATATTAACTCTGAGGCTGTGAATATATATTATAAAGGGAGTTTCTTTCAGTGAAACCTTCCGAAAACAATTTATTTCTATAGAGTTTATCACCTTTTGAGATTTGGCAAATTTTTGTTTTCGTAATAACTGCAACCATAAAACAGTTTTCATACTAGTACCTATCTGTGCCTTGCCTTTTTTTTTTATGCCAAATGTTTGTGATTCAAGTTGAATATATAAAATACATATTGCGCTGTAAAATTCAATGTATCCTGTAAATAAAATAAATAAAATATAGTCTTGGAAGAACTGTTAAAGTTGATATATTAATTTAGAACTTTCTAGTGTGTTATTGTATATTACTAGAATTTTCTAAACCATTATATGTATAATATGTAAAATTCCTTTTTAACTGTATATTGTGATTATGAAATAATATAAAATCCTTTTTTAAGAATAATTTATTAAAAACATATCTGATAATTTTTGGTGAATATTAGTATATCGCTATTAATTAA